AGTTTTTTGGTATGATTTTTAAGTAATTTTTGGTGTATTGGGAGCTTCACCAAAGAATTTTGTACATGAATCCATACTCGGATTCATGGTCTGCCCCAATCTGTCACAAAGAAACTCTTCTTTATATTTGAAACTATTTGTCTTTCCAAAAATAATTCATTTAGATAGAGACTTGTTCATTTTACCTGGCACAGCTAGTTAGCAAAATGGTGGTGCATGCTGTTTTGCTTACCAGTCATGTTATTTTCCAACCATCAATGTTATAGTGACCCTTATAATGATAAAATCACATACTGCTAGACTTGAAATTTAAATTAGCAATGTTAGATCAGACTCAATTTGAGTTTCTGTACTGACTTAACTTTAATAACAAAAATTTCCTATCATCATCTGCTTTTGTTTTCTTTGAGTTTCCCAACTACAAGCAGATGAATCACCATTCTTCAAAAAATGCCCTCTCATGTCCAATTTCCTTATTTTCCAAATACAAAAACATCTACTCTTAAACTCTCAAGCAGGAAAATGTATCAAACACACATTTACTTATAAATATTCATCACTCAAGAGAATAAAAAATTTAAATTGTAAAACAGTTAAACACCAAAAAGGTTATCTGTGATATAGAAGAGCCACTACAAACAAGCCAATGGCAGTGGACTACACAGATGAATACCTTAATTTTTAAACCTCACTAACTCACTTGTTATGGCCCATAAAATGAAATGGTTTGGTGGATTGTATTATCACATCAAACATTATCTTTGTGTTAAAATTCATCAAAATCAGTGAAGGATATCCATGGTAGACACCAAAAGTTTCTGGTCTAACTATATTTTAGACATGATAGGAATAAAATAACGATAGTATCAGATAGTGTCATCTGTATGTGGACTAATAAAACTAATAAAACAGTTTTTCACACCAATTTGCATAAGTTGCTTGGAAACATTCATTTTAATTAGACTTGTTGCATTAATTTGCATCATGTTGAAAAATGAGTACCAAACAGTCATTAAATTTCTCACTAAGAAATGCCTTACTCCCAGTGTTATTAAACAGTGCTTAGATCAGGCATGGCCAACATATGGCCTGCGGGCCGGATCCGGCCTGTCTAATGAATTTATGCGGCCTGCAATTAATTTTTCAATATCAGCTACTCAAGTTGGAATAGCTCAACGAAGAATTCTCACACCATTAAAAAAAAAAAAAAAAAAAGAGTTAATGCTCATTACCAATGTCTTAAGCACAGAGTAGAATGTTGATAATGCATGATAGTGTGAAAAATGTATCTGTAATCTCTATGTACAATTTAGTCTCTACAGAGTGACACCGCAATGAGATCTCGCACCACCTCAAAATCCTCCTAGGGCAGCCTCTGGTTTGGCCCGTGAAAAAGTTTTCTTTCCAATTTGGTCCAGGGGCAAAAAATGTTGGCCACTCCTGGCTTAGATGGTGTGTATGATGAAGCTTTCCCTTTGTTTTCCACCATAAAGGAATATGCTAAAAAGTTTCATTTGGGCCAAGAGAGCATTGAAAATGGATTTGGTAGAAATCCTACTGATAAACTTCAATGAGAGGAGCACAACAGTAAATGGGAAATGTCACCTGCATAAACTATAATTCCTTTAAAAGGCACAGACAACTAAGTAAGGGTGTTTACCTCTTGCAGGTAAATGTACCAGTGCATATGGTTGCTGTGAAGGAATGTGGGTTCAAGGAACATGACCATCCACCCTACAGCGCAGACCTGTATCATTTGTTTCCAAAACTCAAAAAAAAACCTCAAAGAAAAAAAATTAAAAACAAAGAAAAAGCGCAAAAAGCAAGTTAAGAAAAATTCAGAAAAAAAAACGGAACAATTTTTTAAGGGTATTGACATGCTAATTCCAAGATGTAATAAGTGTATTGAACTGCAAGACTATACCAAAAAAAAAGAAATCATTGTTTATACCTATAACATCTAAAACATAGCTGGGCCAGAAACTTTGGCACCTAGAAATTGTTTGTAAATATAAAGGAGGAAGTCAGAGAAATAACACATAGTATTAGAATTTAAAAAAAAAAAATGAAGTTGATTTTTATTTCACAGAAGCTATATAAATTTAGAAACCAGGATTCCATATAATCTATTTTCAAAAATTACTCTAGAGAACTATGAAATAATGAATTAAATAATATTCCATTTTGTTGTTTTCCATGTTTTCCAACATTACTAGTCCCAATTTCCACAGATTGCTGTTTTCTCAAGTTGGCTTCATTTTACAGTCAGATGTCTTTCTTTTCATTAACTCTCTCTCCTTTAATCCAGTTTAATGACTAGCTCAAGACTAGCTAGTCATTAAACTCTGGATGGTATTATACAAAAGCATATGACAATTCCTCATCATCTCTAATTAGATATTATCTGGGGTCTTTACTGTTTATCTTCACTGATTACCTATAATGGGTGTGTTCAGCAAAATTTATCCTTTCCTAGTATGAAATACTCATATATGTATCGTATTCCATAGTGCTGTAGAATTATTAACATTCAAATTGTTAACTGTATAGAAAACATTGACCGACTGAATTGATTTATTGATTGAAAATATTATTATTGTTTATTTATATCAATAATATACATATGCACAACACACCAACACCAGCACACTCGAAATTAAGAAAAATTTACCAACATTTTCATCCATTTATAAAAGACATCAATAATATATAAAATAATGAAAAGAATAATATAATCTTCAATGATAAATAGTAATGATGCAACGAATATTCGGTTACTATTCAGCCAAATACTGAATACCTAAACAAAAAAGTAAGAAATAACAAAAACACAGTAAATTAATCATTTTGGTAACTTTTATTAATGCTGAACATACATTTCAAGTTCAAGAAAGTACAATTTTTTGCTTATTTATGTAAAAGATCAAAGGAAAAGTAATATAATTAAGTTATTTTTTTAAGAGATCAAAAGAAAGTAACAAATTAAATGAAAACTACCTACTTATTATGTAATTTAGTCATCTATATACTTGTATATAAAAGAACAAGTCCTGATAGGATAATTAACACAGAGCCAAAACTACTGGTGCTAGAAACTTAAAAATTTGAGGTTGTGTTCCTTTTGTAAAGTTTAGGCATGCTAAGAAAAGATTTTACAAAATTCAACCCTAAAGGAGTGAAAAGGGTAAAAAATTTGTATGAAAATTTTTACTGTGTGGGCACACTAGATCGAAACTTAGGTCATAAAATGTGAAAATAATAATAATTAATGATCTGTACAGCGTTTTTATGAAATCATCCCTTATTACAAACTTGAAAATTAAATTAACTTTTTTGTTTCATTGTACAAAATTATTTATCATAACTGAAGTTCCAGACAGCTTGTAGCCTGAATGGCCCCAGGCTGTCGCCCATGCATACTAAGTGACTTTAATTACAAGCATTTAGCTTTCCAAACTCTATGAGAACAATTATTTGGCATTGAAAGCTGCAAATTTCATGCCAATAAGCTGCCTTGACTTGTTTGATTAAGTTATCAACTCAATTTCATATTTATTTTCACATTTTCACTTTGCAGTCTTTCTCTATTCTTTTTCTGTTATTTACATATGTTTATATACACTTATGTAAATACATTTACATATGTATTTACATAAGTGATATCATCACTTATCACATACTGCCATGACGCTCACGTCTGTCTGCTACAACTGTCAAGAATTAATGTGATAGGCATAGTGACAGTGGGCCAATAGAGAGCAGGATGTGCGATCCTCGCTATAATGCAGTTTGTGCACCAATTTTCATACGTGCGTTAATCAAGCCGAATAGTTTGTCCAAATATTCGGCAATGAATAGTATATTCATTGCCGAATATTTGGACAAACTATTCGGCATAGTATATTCGAATATCGAATATTCAGCCAGGAGCATAGCTGAATATTCGATATTCGGCCTGAGGCTGAATATACTATTCATTGCAGCACTAATAAATAGCCATATTCATTAACTGTGAATTTGCTATTAGGAACTAATCATACAAGGACTAAGATAGTTACTGTTTGAGAAGTATTTTACTGCCAATCTTTCTATCATATATGCATTTTGGGCATAGCCCCTCATCAGACTGACAAGGGGCCACGCCCAAAATAGCAATCCAGGAATATTAAGCTAATATAATAAACAATATCATTACTAAAAATGTATTTGTTTAATGAAGTAAAAATGTCTGCTAATTTTGGAATTCAGGTAAGCATCTTAAACAGTCAAGCATCAATGTGAAAATTTGAACGTCACTTTAAAAACTCATGAAGCAATCATTTCATTGGTTGGAAAATGACTTTTCATATGGAGAACAATAGGATTCCCAAGACAGCCACAAAATGGGTTCCCTCTGGTGCCAAACGACCACGAGGACACCCCAGGAATACTTGGCACAGACGTTTTCTTCAAGATTTGAAGGTGCTTGATATGAATTGCGAGAATGCCAAAGCCTCACCCACGAATCAAAATCGATGGAAGATAATTGCTGCCCAGTATGCTACCTAGCATTACTACCACCACTATCTTAAACAGTCTTTACAGGCAATCTAATGCATATACATCAGTTCTCAAATTACAGTGCAAGGGTCGACACAGCAAGCCAAAAATCTACCTCACGTCACCGTACCTCAGATCTGCCCTAACAGATTGATTAATTAACACTGGGTGGACCATATACACTTTTGTAACATGCTCACGCCTCAGCTCAACAAATCGATAATTAGCAAGGTTGCAAACAAAGTTTTCATCTCCAAAATGTAAATGTTGAGCACTGCTTACACGTTTTAGAGATAAAAACTTCAGCCGCAACCTCACTATTTAATCATTCCTCCAAGTTTCCTTACCAAACAAACTTTGAAATAAAAAAAATATTGCATAGAATTGTATACATATTTATAAATAATATGTACTGAATTTTATTTGTATACATTATGATTTCTCATTAAAAAACATTATACCTTTGATTGGGGACATTAACTTCTTCCACCTTCAAAGTCACTCTCCCATCATCTTGCATCTGTTTTTAAATAATCGTTTTTTTAATTAAATATAATAAGCGAGATTAAATAAATCCGTAAAGAAATAATGCATATTAATTTACATTTGCTAATAAGATGGCCAATTTAGATTTCATTTGAGTCTCTTCTAAGCAGTAAACAAAATTATTAACCGCAGACTTTCCATCATTTTCCAAATTTATTTTAGTAACTACTTTAACTAATTGAGAAGTGATATCGACGCTCCTTTCGACTTTAGAGTTGACCAGGCCCGCATTTTCTGCACAATTAGATAAAGAAACGATCACAAATATAAAAATTACAAGAATTAAACTCATCTTCGCGTAACAGACGATCATGGTTCGACATCAACCGGCGATCGTGCACGTTGGCGTCATTTCATTGGTCTATTAAATTATGTTTTACCACCACGGGGCGCATTAGTCTGTGCAACTTAGGCCCAACGACAAGACAACACAAATCATGTTTTCTATATTAATATAAATTTATAAAACTTCGTAAATATAAATTGTTTTTATTGCATCTATATTTTATTGGTCTGAAAAAAATTAATAAATTAAAATTTTGAGATTTTACCGAGAAATATAACGAAAAAAAAAATTATGTGGATGGACACGAAATTTTCGTTTCTTAAAAATTTCTATAATTTTAAATCGTATCAATAAAATTTGTGGATTTAAGATTAAATATTAATAATAAAGCAATAAATTTTGTTATTAGATTGCCGTATTTTTAACTTTCGAATGAATTCCAGTGTAATTTAGTCTTGTTGATGGGGAATCCGAATCGGATTCTTTTCATTTTATTGGCCAGTGAAGTTCGTGATGTCTTCCCAATCCTTTTTGTTTTGGTTTTTCCTCTTGAAATTAAGGCTCTCAATCCAGGGGCGTGCCGTGACATTTGACTATAGGGAAGCTGTGTTTCTGAAAGAAGCCGACATCCAGGGGCAATCAGTCAATTGCGCGTCAGTGATGGTCTATGGTCCATCCGTATCGTTTATTCGATAAGCCAGTAAAAACCGTAGACTTCTCTAAATGCATTTTTAATATCACAATTACATTCCGAATCGCTAGCCACGATATAAGGGCTACAATTAAAAATAAAATAATAAAAAAATACTCGGTGAAATAAAATATGTGGTGGATGTACCGGTACATACAAAATATTCTTCAATTATATGAATATACTTTTAAAGAAAATTATAATTAAATATAGCTTTGCAAAGAAACGTACATAAAAATATAAAATATTCTTTACTTTTTAAATCTTAAAACAATGCACTTAGTCAAATAGCTCCCTACGAGTGGCTAATGGATGGAATCGAAGACGGTTGCAGAGC